ACAGAAGTTAATGCCTTACATACAACAGGTGTAGGAAATCAGTGTTAATTCTCTCAGGAAACTGTCACTGAGAAAGGCTAAAAGACAAATAACCACCTGTCAAAAATAGTTGCAACATGTGGCCTGGCGTGGTGGCTCATATCTGTAGCCCCAGCACTTTGGGAGGCCGAGGCCAGTGGATTGCTTGAGCTCACAAGTTCCAGACCAGCCTGGCCCACACAGTGAAACCCCCTAAAAATACAAAAATTAGTCAGGCATGGCAGCATGCATCTGTAGCCCCAGCTACTTGGGAGACTGAGGCAGGAGAATCGCTTGAATCTGGGAGGCAGAGCTTGCAGTGAGCTGAGATGGTGCCACTGCACTCCAGTCTGGACGACAAAGCGAGACTATGTCTCAAAAATAAATAAATAAATAAATAAATAAATAAATATAAAGAAAAGATATTCCTACATATGTCAGTAAAGGACGACAAAGCGAGACTATGTCTCAAAAAAAAAAAAAAAAAGTTGCAACATGTATGAATAGGAATTCATATCCCTAATCCACAAAACTCTCAGACGCTAATAAAAGATGACTATATCAATATACAAATACACAACGCAGAGGCAATGCAGAAAAGAAAAATAGGCCGGGCGCGGAGGCTCATGCCTGTAATCCCAGCATTTTGGGAGGCCGAGACAGGCAGATCACAAGGTCAGGAGATCGAGACCATCCTGGCAAACACGGTGAAACCCCATCTCTACTAAAAATACAAAAAATTAGCTGGGCGTGGTGGCGGGCGCCTATAGTCCCAGCTACTCGGAAGGCTGAGGCAGGAGAATGGCGTGAACCTGGGAGGCGGAACTTGCAGTGAGCTGAGATCGCATCACTGTACTCCAGCCTGGGCAACAGAGCGAGACTCCGTCTCAAAAAAAAGAAAAATGTAAATTGCCAATAAACATGAAACTGTTTTAACTCTCACTAGCAATTAATGAACATTTTAAAATAAGCGACTCTTAGGAGACATCACTCTCAGTCAACAAATTGTCAAAAATGGTACAGGTTAACAAGGAGGTACTGAAACCAATACCAGGTTCTTTTGCTGGAATTCAAACCAGTGTAATTTTTCTAGAAGGCAGTCTGGCCCAAGGACATAATTAGGTAGGAGTGCAAGTGTG